CCGAGGCTTGCTGTGGGCGGTGCAGAGGCTGGGCCAGCATCCCCCGGGATTGGTAGGAATCAGGGCGGCTTCCTCCTGGCTCACTCACTGATTCCTACAGACCCACCCACTGGTGGAAAAAATGGATGAGTTCATCAGCTCTTCGGTTGTCATTTCCTTGGTTTTCTTTCAGCATTCATCTGCTGGACGTTAGACCCAATGGTGAGTGAAGCTAAGTCAGACTGACCTTTGGGAATTTCATCTCCCTGGTCTTCCTACAGACACCTGGGGAAACACCTCTGAGATCCCGAGATGGCCAGAATGTTTCACAGGTGCAGCGACCCGCTGAGCACTCGCCCCACAAAGGTGCGGCCTGGTCTCTGCAGTTTCAAATGTCAGTCAAGCAGGGTCCATTCCCTGGTGAGCGAGTTAGTAAAAAGGTGCAAGGTGGTGGGGGGAGGAACAGGGCGCTGGGGTTGAGGTCTTTGGGATGTCACTGAAACTTGGATGTAAAGTGGCTTTGAAACTGCCTTCAGGCGATTCCATTTTGGACGAGCAGTGCTGAGCCCCGACTTTAGAAAGTGGAGTTTCACTAAAGACCGGCGGCCAAAGGTGGGCACAGGGGCACACGAAGGAGCAGAGCATGGGAAAGGACGATGGGACGGCGACCCCCACCCGAGGCCTGTGGGTGTGAATCTAGTGTTTCCATGGCAACTTCAAGTCCCATTCTAAATGAACTGGAACCCCGATGACAGGATTCAGTCCTGGAGCTTCCTGGACAAGTAAACACCATGTCCTTGCACAGATTTCCATCAAGGGTGGACATGTTATCTTTTCTTGTTCCTGAGACAGGTCTCTCGGTGTAGCCCAGGCCCTGAACTCTTGATCCTGCCTCAGCATCCTGAATGCTGGGATTACAGGAATGAGCCACCACACCCAGCTGATCTCTATTTCTGACTCTGAAAATGAGAGAACAGGTGCAGCTCTGCCTGTCACTTCTACTGTTCAGAGTGAATGTCACATCATTCTATGAACTCCAAATCCCAATGGTGTCACAGCCAGTTCCCATTCTGTCGCCACAGACCTCTCTCCCGGAAGTTATCAGCCGAGTCACAGAGACCCCCCACAACATGAAACAGCACACATGAACAGTCTGATACTTTACCTCAAGGAAGCAAAGAGTCACAAAGGGAGTTGTTACCTATTTAACAACATAAAATTATAAATCCCAGTTATTTCAGCCCTGGCTCACATCACAGTAGAAAACAGAGGCCATAGCTTTCACAGGAACCCCATGGGGGATTAAGGTTAATGCAAGTACTTCATGAATATAAACAGCATTCTATTTTATGAAGTCAAGTTCTGGATATTTACAAAGATACCTATTCCTAGACAGGAGCCAGATTGGAATGAAAGTTCCCCCCACCCCCGCACTTGGATTTGAACTTTGAGACAGGGTTGGCTAAATTGCCCAGTTTGTGATCCTCATGCCTCAGCCTCCCAGAGTGCTGGGATTACAGGCATGAAACCATACCCAGCTGAAAGTTTTTCTAAATCACGATTAAACTTACCATGTATCTTATTACCATGACAGTAAGTCCTAGTTTGCAAGAAATCCTTCTGTGGTTCTACAAGTCTACTGATTTACAGAGCAAAAAATGACCCCAGAGGCTGTTAATTGTGCCCCTCTTCAGCTGAAAAGGTGCATCTGCTCACAGCACTCTTGACGAGTAGATGTGTGGGAAATGAAGCTGTAATTCATACTCCAGCTCTGTAATGAATTCATTCTCCCTGAGTCCACTCAACAGCTTCACCTGTATTAAAGTGTTTACCCAAATCTCCTTTGGTCTGGACTTTCTTCCTACAGGGCCACTGTAGGAAAATAACTCTCTGACTAAGAAATTGAATTCTGAAAGCTATAAACGTATTTATTTTTTCTTTTATACCAACCAGACATTGATGACATTCTTTTAGTGAGCTGTAGCTCAATATCCAAAAGACAAACAGAAGGACACAAGCCCATTTGTGAGCTAGTGCAAAAGGTCACTCAACCTGCGTGGAGTTAGTTTCTCAAATGGGTGCTGGGTGGTGGTCAGGGCTGTATGAATGCAAACTCTGGAAGTTCTTCACAGTGGTAGGACAAAGAATCCAAGAGAAATGAGTGCAGAAAGAACACAATACAGAACACATAAAAAACTCAAATTACATCAATAAAACATGAAAATACATCCAACTCAAGACAAACAAATGCAAAGTGTCATTTTATAGCTACTGAAATAATACATATACTGCCAAAGTTAACACTGTCCTGTCAAGTTTCTTGTTAGCCATACTTTGTCTGTTTTAATATTTTAATGAGTGAAATGTAAGTGGTTCTAAAGACCCTGCTTAACAAGCAAAAGTTTCTCTTACGAATCTTATGGTTAATTTTCCCATTAAGCCAGATAACAGCCATATAAAGTTTATTTTTGCCAGAATACAGAAGCTGACCAAGCAGAAGGGGAAACGTCAAGTTCCCAAAAGAACCACTTAATCACAAGCCTTCTGTGACTACAGGTGCTCAAGTTAGGCAGTTTCTCCAGATGAAATAATTCATACAAAGCGAAGAACACACATCCTCTCTCCCTCAGTATTAAGGAAACAGTCTGCAAAATATAACTTGTGATAACATAGTAACAGCAGCTCAACATGAGAATTTCACAGATAGAATACTTTAAAGTTAATATTGAATTATTTAAAAGCATCTAAAGAGTTAACCATCATATATTTTTATTACAAGTTATTTTAAAATTTGGGCAGTTACAATTGTGTCAGAAACCCAACTTCATACCAAAAATACACTTTCACTTACTGTCACATGAATAAAAACCATCTCCATTTATTTTCCCCTTCCAGGTTATTATACAGTAAAAATTCAATATTATATATGAGGTACATGTAATTAAACAAACATATAAAATGAGTATGTATTGAATTTTCAAAAACAAAAGTAAAAATAAATAGCAATGATAAACCTTTGGAAAAAATAATGCATATTTTAGTTGTGGAAAATATGATTCTTACTATATACAGTCAATATATTTAATAGAAAGCCATCTCTTCAGGATTGCACAAACATGGAACCAATAAAGCCTATTTCCTAGAATGTAATACTATATAATCCTCGGCTCCTCAACTCCAGGGTATCTACACTCAGGTCTGTGGTATAATAGAAGTACAAACTGCTGTTTGAGAAAGATTGTCTTCCTCGATTCACATTAATCTGGAGTAATCCTACAAAAGGCTATACAGGAAATTTCACAAAAAGAAATATTAAATAATTATAGTGCCCACTCTAGGCTGAATATACAGCCGAAAATGGGCTTCAAAGTAAGCTTGGTGATCATTTAATAATTTCAATACTTTATACTAAAGATCATTCCATTTCTTTGTTCTATAAAAACACTTTGTGTTTAAGTTTGTTGGCAATCTCAGCACAAGAATAATCCTGGCAAAATGGAGTCTGTTTTTGCTCACCATATTTTAAATATTTCAGGACAAAGGAACTTAATAGAAAAAAAAAAATAATGCTCAACTCCCTCAGAAGTACATACTTATCAGAGGTGTTATTATTTTAAAATCCTATTTCAATTCCTTTCAAAGAAAATCAAAGGTAGTAGTAGGCGTTTTTATTTGTATTATGGAATAGCCATCAGTTTAGAGGAAAAATACTTTTTTGAGCACCAGAAAAAATTGCACCAAATTTAGGAACAACTTGAAAAGCTCCTGGTGAAAAACACTTAAGTACTTTAGAGCAATAAAAAAATATGTGTGGGCTTAATCACAAATATTTACATTCAAAACAGTCATAAGTCAGCCACTGTGCTGCTCAATAACAACAATTCAAAGGTATTTCCAAAGGCATAACAATATGTCCACAGCATTTGTGACCACGCTTGAATGCATAGAATACAGTAAAGATTAGTGCTCTGCAGTCTGCTGTCTACCTTACCTATCAAACAAAACTTTACATTTGGAAAGCTGTACACACAAAGGAAGTGGGCATGTTTCTATTATTCCACACAAAACCTACTTTATGTGCTACTGATCTCACTCATTTGTTCCACAACCTGTCCTAAGATCTCGTCAACCACATCAACATCGTAATTCACTTGCTGAAGATCAAGATCAGGCACGATCATAGTCAACAGCTGTCCCACATTAACTCGAAGAGACCGAAGCTTGAGGCTGCAAATACAAATAGAAAATCTAATCAGGAGCATTATAATACAGATTACTATTCATGTGGAACTTAAAATTGGTAGTGAGGGCTGGGGATGTGCCTGCCTGGCAAGTGCAAGGTCCCAAACTCAATCCCTGGTACCCAAAAAAAAAAAAAAAAAAGATAGTGAAAATATTAAAATTTAATCTCCAGCTATACTGGGACCAAGATATCTTGATTCTGTTACTAACAAGTTATTTGAAATTCACAAAAACATTAATACTTCTTGGACCTAGGTTTGTTTCTCTGTTTGCAGTAATGGGGATGGAACTCAGGACCTTGTGCTTACCATGCAGGCGCAGTACCACTGAGCTACATCCCTGGCCCTAAAATTACATCTCTGTAGAATAGAGTTGAACAAAAAGAAAAGGAAAACTCCCCCTGGAGAACTGGACAGTGAATTTAATAACTTATACCATCCATCAGATACTAGCCTAAGTTGAAATAGCATGTTTCACAAATCTAGTGGTGTGGTCTGATTCTTACATATTCTATTAATTTGCAAACTAGAGAAAAATACGTAAACCAGAGGGTATGATTTACAATTGAGTCTTATTATCACCTGGAAAATAGCCACACGCTAGTGAAAACAATGGTCTAAGAATGAAGAGTGAATCTCTTTGAATTCCTCCTCCCCTTAGGGGAAAACTATTCCCCTAAAACATGTGTAGGAGAGGTTCCGCCACCAGCCTTGCAAGCACAAGGACCCGAGTTCGATCCCCGGTACCAAAAAAAAAAAAAAATATGTGTAAGAGAAAAACAGTTCTGTGGTCAAATAAACCTGTAAAATTCTGTGTAAAATAATGATAAACAAGCTTTTGAAATTATAGGACTTCTCTGAACCTATTACACGCTCCAGTTCACTGACCACCCATTTCACCATGAATTTAGAAAACTGTGTGTTGCTGAAACACTGGGAAACCCTGGCTGAAGACAATCACTCCTTTCACGTTCACAAATGTCAACATTCTAGGCTTAAAAGGAAATTCCAGAGCGGGCAGTATAGCTCAGTTGTACAGCAGTTGCCTGACATATTTGAGGTCTTGGATTTGACTCCCAAGACTGCTTCAAAAAGAAAAAAAGTAGTAGTCAAGCCTAAAACTGTAAGGCAATCTTTGCTTGACTACGACAGACACCGAAAATGCTGGAATTGTTCTTGTTCTCCACACACCCCACAATATGTCATGTCCGTATTGAATTCAGATACTGATTTTTCTAGGATGGCAATCTCTGAAGCTGTTATAATGTGCATCCATAGGTTGACAATTTAGGAAAATGTCATTTTGAGTATGTTGGTTTTATGAGCCTTTACAATAAGACCCCACTGGTCCACTGATAAAACTATACATCACTCCCACGTCAGCCATTTTTTTCTCCATACTTTCCACTCATGGCCAGTCAAAGGTTCATAGTTGAAATTGTTTGTGGCTGTTTTCCAGAACATATTAACCAATCTACACTATGTCATCCCTCTACCACAAACAAGATCTTTATCCTAGGAGAAAAGCAGACAAATGACTAGTACCCCTTACCCACTCTCTCCCATAAGTCTTTGATTGTCCCTGTTACTTCCTGCTATTTACTGAACATGTTAGATCCCCATTTTCAGTGTCAAGTCTGTCCGAGAAAAACAATGCTAGCTCTAAACTGAATCTTATATATTCGCAGCCACAACAAAAGGTTAAAGAAAAATGAATCTGATTTTAGTAGTATATTTTATTTAAACCAGTGTAGCCAAAGTATTCTTTTCTAATATAATCACAGTGGCCAACATCTGTACTCCCAGCACTTTCAGGGCTGAAGCAGGATACCTAGAGTTCGAGGCCAGCATGGGCTACCTACTGAATTCAAGGCCAGCCCGAACTACCTGACAAGACCTCATCTCAAAGATCAGAACTTCTTAAATAGTGTATTGCACGTCTTTTATTCTCTTTCACATGAGAGCTTCAGAAGTCAGTTTGTATTTTGTATGTGAAGTAAACCTCAATTCAGACTAGCCATACTTCAGGCGTCAGCACCACATGTGGCTAGTGGCCGCCAAACACAGACCCTAAGACTACCAGTTACTCCAAGTTTAATGTGTAAGAGAATCATCTGAAGGCTTGTTCAAAAATTTCTAATTCAGTATGTGGCAGGAAGCTCCACCTCTCTAAGTCATACAGGTGCTTAGAGAACCGGCTCCTCATTTTTAGGTCAAGACTTTTCTTGAGCCTCTGGCCTCCATACTTACAAAGTATCTTTAGGCAGTATGATAAAACACACCTGAGTACTGCTGCCGAGCGCCACCAACAGAAAGGCAGGCTAATCGCTTCTCGGCCTTTTGGCTAAGATCAAGTGTAGAAAGGCAGGCTAGTTAACTATCACAGTGTGTTCTCATCTACCCTACTTGTGGCTCTGGTTCTTCCCCATACTCAAAGACCATGAGAAGTTATGTTTTGAACTGACTCAGAACATCAAGGTGGTCACAATAGCTCATAAAAAAGGGACTTACAGAACTTCTCCAGAAAGGGGCCAGAATGATGGGTTAAGAGTATTACAAGAGAGAAGAAAGATGTGAGGGAGATTAGTGGCAGGTTGTCTTTATCGTAATAAATTTGATTTAAGCATACACCTATTTTTCTATCACTTCTTGTTCATTCACTGCTCTCTTCCATTTCCATGAAAAGATTTCATGACATCCACTGAAAAGCTAAAGGATAAAGTAATCACTAAGGGAAAGGGAGGCTGGAGACAGGACTGTTTCTCAACAAGAGGCTGCGACTGCACCACCAACTCTACCACCCCCTCAACTTCTGCACAGCAAGCTAAACAAGTCCAAGCCCAGCTTACAGCTTACTGAGAGGATCATCATTCATTCAGTTTTCTTGTTTTAATGGGACTTGCTAATGTTGTTACCTGTACTGAGGACATTTACTTTTCTGGAGTACTAGGGATTGAACCTGCACTTAGCTACATCTGCAGAGTTTTAAATTTTTTTATTTTTAGGCAGGTGTCCTTACATCACTAAGTTGCTCAGGCTGGACTCACAGTCCTCCTGTCTCAGCTCCCCAGAGTGCTGGGATTATAGGTGTGCACCCCCATACCTGAGGGTCATTTTTAGTAATTTTGTGATTTCCCAAAAGATTAGGACACATATAGAGTGAAACAAGGATACATTTCCATAAAGAAATATGCCAAGAAGGCAAATGAGGTTGAAAGAGTAAGTTTCTCTGTCTCTCTCTCCTTTCCTTCCCTCAGACAAGGGGTCTTGCTTTGTAGTTCAGGCTGGCCTCAAACTCATGGTGACTCTCCTGTCTCAGTCTCCTGAGTGCTACAATTACAAGCATGCACCCATGCCCAGCCAAAACCATGTTTCAGTAAGAGCCTCCTGTCCTACGCATGCCCAGATTCACCCCATTGAGGATGTAGCTCAATTTTCACTTTCCCAAAAAACAACCCAAACCAGTCTTTATCCCTGCTAACTTCTTTCACTTAATTTCAACCTGAACTGTAGAGATGTGACAGCATACTGATATGTTACTTCTTTTGAATCTCTCTGAAATGCTGAGTTCATGGGGATTCCTAATAGAATAAACATGGACTGCCGATAGCTGACCAACAGATACAATGCCTGTGCTCACCAAAACTGCAGCCCAGAAAGCGCATCCCTGAGCATTACCTTTCACCATCCAAGTAGTTTATAGACTCCTCAACATTACTTGAAGTCGAAACATCTGCTCCTAACTGTTGCCTTGTAGATTTTAACTGTTCAATTTCTGTTTTGAGTTGTTCAAACTGGGAACGCATATGTGTTTTCTCCGTTTCCAATAAAGCAACCTGACAAAAAATATAAATGGCTTTTATGATTGTAAAATTCCAAAATATTGTCAAAGTACAAATTTAAGCTAAGAAACACAGAAAACTAGTGTGATAAAAATGACCATCAAAAAAGCACTAATACACACATACTCCAGTAGTTTTTCTATAAAGTGTCATTTGTTTAACATCACTTCTATGTATTTTACAGTGAGAGAAAATGTTAAGTGCCACCTAACCAAAAGTAAGTGGTACCCAGAAATGGAACCATAAGACCCTAAAGACCAAGTTATGCTGGTATTACAATGGCTTTCTTTTCTTTTTTTTTGGGGGGTGCTTTTTGAGACATGGTCTCACTACACAGTTGAGACTGACCTGGAACTCACTATGTAGCCCAGGCTGGTCTCGGTCTTGCAGCGATCCTCCTGCCTCAGCCTCCCGAGTGCTGGGATTACAGGCATGTGCCACCAAGCCCGGTATTCTTTTCTTTTCTTTAAGACAGGGTCTCATGTAGTTCACACTGGTCCTGAACTCACTATGTAGCCAGGTTTGGCCTTGAACTTCATGGATCCTCCTACCTCAGCCTCCCAAGTGCTGGGATTACAGACATGTACCCATGCCCAGCTGGCTTTCATTTCTTACACACTCAACATTAACGTATAATAGTGAGTGTATACTGAATTCTGTGTATTTTGCATCTAGTTCCTGAGCTAAATCACATGATGACTGTTTTAACAATATTCCCAGGCAGAGGCAGTACAGCAGCATACTAATATGGTTTCCAAACTCTCTTAGCAAGGAAAGTCTTTCAAAAACCACATAAAAAATAATGTACATATGTATAGTACATAAAAAGGAGCTTCCTGAACTTGAAGTAGGGTACATGCACAGGTTACTAGTCATCTGACAGCTACTCTCCTTCCTACTCCTTGAAAGGCCCCTGAATAGCACCTTCATTTCCCAGCAAGGCAGCTGCAAGCCAGGTGCCTCAGTTCTGACAGATGAAGCCCAAGCAGATCCGACGAGGAGCCTCCCCGCTTTTCCTTCTTGCAGCCTGGAACATGGCTGTGATGCTCGGGCCTGAGAGCGCACCCTGAGAAGCAAAGTGACAACGCAGAAGCAGTCTGCGCCCCTTGTAGCTGTGGAACTGCCATGGTACTCGCGGTGATAGCCTAGCCAACCCAACATGGGCTTCATCTCTAAAATGAAGACCCAGCATCTCCCTCATGGAGCTACTCAAAGGTGCTGCAATAACAGATACAAATTTGACTATGCTGCGTAAAAGGGGCGAGAGACACAGGCATTGTCAACAGGACAATTATCACTGTACAGCACTATGCTGTGCACACTTCCCACTATGTTCCAGCAATCGCCTGAAGATACAATAAGAACCGAAAATGCCCTCCATTATCCACTGTCCCCCAGGAGATCCATGGCCCATTAAGAACTAATGGCTTCATCCAATCTTCAGAATTATTACGACGTGGAAGAATTTCAACCCAGCGCCTGGCAGCTCCAGAGGGCACTCCTGTGACTCACCTCAGTTTTATACTGGTCCCTCTCCACAGTGCATTTGTGCAGCTGTCTGAACACATCATCGAGCTGCACAGCCATTTCATCCACATCCCTTTTATTCTCGAGATGACAACACTGACTGCATTCAGCCTTTACATGTTGCAAAGCACTACAATGAGTTTTCAGCCTTTCTATTTCTTCCAAAGCCTGCTGATACTGAGAGACTATATGGTCTGGACTTTCAGATTTGCCATTAATACTTTCAAGTAAAAACACAGCATCAGTTTCAGTAGACTGATGGCAAGTTTCCTTCTTGACATATTTGTCGTTCATTTCTAGGATCTTCTCTTGTAATACTTTGATCTGGTCTGTAAACACGTGACACTGTCTCTTATAGCTGTCCTTCTCTTGACTGACCAGGAGGAGTTCGTTCCTCAGTACTTTTAACTGACAGCCAACAGTCTCTGCAGACTTGTCAAAGGTTTCTTGTATCATGGTGTCCTGCATCTTTGCATCGGCATCTAAAGAGATGGGCAGCCTCGCTTTATCATTCCTTGCATCTATATCATCTTCCATAGTTTCTTCCTTTTTAACAATTAAACTGGGAGCTTCCGTCTGGGTGGCCGCAGCAGTGCCTTGGTCACACCTGGGTGAGGGACTTGTGGAATTGGTCTGACCACAAGGCTCAGCATAGTCCACAATCTCAACCTGAATGCCGCTTTGTTTAATGTGACTCTGTTCCGGTTTGACTTCAACATCAAGATCTATGGCAGGTTTAGGAGTACTGCTTTCTTCTAAAATGATGACATCTTCATCATCATCATCATCATTTTTAACAGAATTTTCAAACATTTGATTACTCAGTCTCCGATTCTTTGCATTCAAAATTGAGGAACGAGTAGAAAATCTCCGTTTCAGGCTGGAAAAAATGTTATGTATAAAATATAAGATTATCAAATATAGATATGAACAAAATGCATGACCTTCAAGTGATCTTTTTAACAAATGCCCTGTTACAACAATTTTACAATTATCTTGAAATCTTAAGAACTGCCTGTGCTCATTTTCAAAAGTGTACAGGGCCGTGGATTTAGCTCAGTGGTGCCGCCACCTGCTTCACAAGCGCAAAGTCCTGAGTTCAATCCCCAGTACCAAGAAAAAAAAAAGGAAGTGTACAGAACTGAACTAACAGCTGAGGTGAAGTACTGGGTCCACATACTGCTATCCATGTGTCTCCCTGCAGATGCGCTACAGGCCTTACAAGAAATACACCAGACCCTTGCTTGGGTACCCTGAAGAATGCCAAGGCCATTTTCATTTGTCAACATTCATGATCAGAGGTAAGCCATGAAGCAAACCAGCATTATTCTCTATCATTTCACATGAAACAAGCTTCCCTGAACTAAGCCTTGCCTTGTTCTCTTCATTTACATGGTGCCCTGTAAATTCATCACTCTTCCCACCTGGTAGGCTCTCCAAACCTTGCATGTTGGACCTGCTGGATCTCAAGGAGGAGCCTCCTTTCCTGGATTACTCTCTCGTGCAGACACGATAGCACCACCTCCACCCTGAGAAAGGGTCCCAGGAACTTGACAGATGAAAATGTCTTTATACCCCTCTCAAGGTTACTGCTTGTCTGGCTGTTCCACTGTCTTGCAGGTTGGAAATTACTTTCTCACAAATTTAAAAGGACCATTTTATTTTCATCTATTACTGAGTGTTTCTGCCCTTCCTGATCCTTAGCAGGTACACTGTAGTTTTCCTTTCTGGGAAAAACAACAACAAAAAAATCTCCTTATCCTTCATGATCAACAATATCAAGATGACACCTCGGAGATTAAGTCTTTTTCCAGACACCATGCTCTATACTTAATGAAAATGAGATTTGCTTCTGGTGTTACTTCCTCCCCTCCAGACCATTCTTTTTGATTTCCTACACTGAAACTCCCTTATATTCAAACACTGGCCTCCTGTACTGACACTTGGTATTTTCTCTACCTCCTATTTATCTTTTAAGAGATTTGTTTACTCAACATTTACCCTACTTCTGCCAGGTGTGGTGGTGCACGCCTATAATCCCAACACTCAGGAGGAGACTGAGGCAGGAAGATGTGTGTTTGAGACTAGCCTGGGCTACATAATGAGTTCCAGGTCAGTCTCAGCTAGATAGTGAGACACTGTCTCAAAAATCCAAACAAACAAACATTTACCCTATTTCTTCCCAAAGAATTTCACACTTTTTCTTCTCCTTTTGACCTAATGTGAAGATCACACATGTGGCTTCTGTGAAACTGACTGGAAGAACTGGTGGCTAGGCTTAGAATCGGAATGGGCTAACACTGTCAAAACAGACAGCTTCTCTCTGGAAACAGTGGAAACAGAGAGGCAAAGAAGGGCTGACTGTCCACCACTGAGTATTCAATCTTCCTGCTGACACAGCTCACAGGCTTCATGAGCTTTAAAAACTACTCCAGAAAGTCAATTTGCTCATCTGTTTCTTCTTTAGAGAGAGAATCTTTTTTTTCTATGTCTTGTACTCTGAATAGTACAAGTTACTTTCCTATTTTACCTATCAAGTTAATTCCTACCTTTCCTAAGACTCAGGTTAAGCACCACCTTTCCACTGAACATTGGCTTTATGAACTGGAGAATTAAATACAGATTTTAAATATTCTCTTCCTCCATTTTGATGGCAGACAACTTCTAAGATAAATTCTTATCTTGTGCCTGTAAGCTCAGATTCATTTTTACGTAGAAAACCCAAGAATACTAAGGGGATCAATACAAAACAAAACCACACAAATTATTAAGTAGCAATCCAGCTTGAAAAGAGTTCCTAAAACACAGGTTATGAAGAACAAACATTAAAACACACCCTCCTTAAGTTCAATCTGCAGTAAGGCAGTTAGTCATTCCTAGCCTTCCATGAGGTCAAGAATCACTTTTTGAGAATTTGAGGAAGACCATAACACAACTCGGAAAGTCTGGCCCCACCATCTGAGAAGCTTCTTTGAATAGTTTCATGTGCAGTGCGCCTGGTCCATGAGGGCCCAGACATCACGCCCACTCCCACGCTCCGGCCTGAGAGAGGGGCAACACACCTAGCAGGGACCAAGCTAAAGGCCACTTCAGGACAGGCGCTCTTTGGCCATCCAGGTCAAGAGGGTGGACTACAATTCGTGCATCACTAGTGTATTTCTTCTCCCCTCCTCCTCTATCCTCTCATCCAACTATACCAGGATCCCACAGTATGCCACGGGCTATGTTAAGAACTTCTGGGTAGCACTTGACATTATTATTGTACTGTTAAACGCTTCATGTTTTTCTTTATTTAAGTACTGGTCATTTTAAAAGCAGTAATTTTCATACTATAAAGAAGTTTCAAGGAGGTATCAGGTTGATCAAATCCCACAAGGAATACAATTAGTTTTTTTCTCCCCGCTCTTTCTCTTTTTGAGACCAGGTTGGGTTTGAATTCCTGGACTCAAGGGACCATCCTGGATCAGCCTTCTCAGTGGCTGATAGTACACTTACTAGTGCACAACACCATGCCTAGTAATGGGTAACATTTTTTTACCCTAATTAAAGTAGGAAGCAGGCCCAAAGTGGGAAAAAGTTTAGACAATAAAGCAAAGTAATCCTCTTACATTCATGTAAACTGTGATTTCCTAGAGCTGCATTATTGTCCTAGAAGTGTCACATAAAGGCACAAATGGAAAAGCACACCTCTGCCACTAACCTGTTGTTCTCAGGATCAGACTGGGGTGAAACACGATGATTATTTAGAAGTCGTGTTGGGTAAGAATTTGCTACTTCTGAAAGATGTGCTCTTGAAACACTGTCCTTTGCAGGAGAAAAGCTCTGACTTGGCATGGAAGTTGTCCTATGCAACAGCTCGGCATTGATCTGTTGGAGGAGAAAAGCAGATCTTAAAGGAGTTATTTTAATGTGATGTGACCCAAACACAAAATATGATCTTCAGAAGACACCAAGACCTCCCCTCAACATGTAAATTCCTTGTGGGCCGGGGATTTAGCTCAGTGGCACTGCTCCTGCCTTGAAAATGCAAGGTCCTGAGTTCGATCCCCGGTACCAAAAGAAAAATACATAAATTCCTTGTGCTAACCAGGAGCCAAATCCAGCCAACAAATGAGCTCAGAATGGCCTTACATTTTTAAAGAATGCAAACAAAACAAATACCCCACAGGGACAGCAAAGATTTCATATGTACTCTATGGTGACCCCATACTAAAGAACCAAGTAAGACAGAATGAAAACACACTGTTCTAAGAGAAAGAAATTAGACAATAAGCCCACTACTCTTTTCCTTAGCCCACTTCATCTGTTCTCACCTCAAACCCTCAGTTCAGTGTAATTACACACACATACACACACACACACACCGTACAGCAGACTGTCACTTCTCACAGAAGACATGCACTACTTATTCATATTCATGTACTCAGCCAAAGCTCCTTGATGCCACTAAGCACTGAGCAAATTGGAAGGCCAAGAACAGTAGTCAACAAAAGGGGAAGAAAAAGACCCTGGTTCTGGCCAGGTCAGCAACAGTGTGACCTTAAGTGTCCTGTGACACTTCCCACTGCCTGTGTTAACAGGAGTGTTAAAGGACTGTTTGCCCTTCTTCAGACAATGCCCACTGAACAGTGCGACTAAACCAACTGAATGAGGGTGTTGGGTTAGAAGTTAGGGTTGAAAAAGAGGACGGGGGTGGGGTGTACCAAAAAAGCAAATGTCAAGTGAATTAACGAGATCCCTTTCCTCTATTATATAAACCCAAAACTTTAAATTTCAATATGGATTAAACTAAGTGCTACCAAGAATAGGATACAGGGATAAAATGGAAAGCTTACTTACCCGAGGGATCACTTCTGGGTGTTTGATCCTAAATTTTTCCTTGTTGCTTTAAAAGAAAGATGAAAAATGAATATTTTACATCTGTCTCATTATTACATCTAAATCCTATTTTCCAAAGACATATTTACTTCATTACCAAATTACTCTGACACATACATACGCTGACCTCTGCTTCAATTTCATAATTAGTGGTAATACCTTGGAAGAGGGAATATTATCTACCTTTTAAAAACAGAATCTCAGAGATATTCCTTGTTTTTGGATAGTAAGAACCAATACATTGAAAACGGCCATATTTCCAAAATTGTTACACAGATTCAATGCAATCCCAATCAAAATTCCAACAGCATATCTCACAGAATTAGAAAAAACAATCCTAAAATTCATTTGAACCAGAACAGACCTAGAATAGCAAAGCAATTCTGAGCAACAAAGGCAAGGCAAGGGCATCACAATCCCTGACCTGAAATTATATTACAAAGCTACAGTGATAAAAACAGCATGGTACAAGCTTGACATTTATAGCTCAATGGATGGACCTTGAGACCAAACTCCTTTTCTTTGGATACTGGGGATTGAACTTAGGACCTTGTGCTTGTGAGCAGGCTTCATCACCACTGAGTTAAATCCCTGGCCTGAGACCAAACTCTTGAGTGAAATAAATCAGACACACATATTTAAACCACTGTTTTCCCTGGTGTGAGAAACCAAAAGTGGAAATAAGGACTAAAATGTATAACAAATATTGGGAAATACGAAGGGAAGCAAGGGAAGAAAGGGAAAAAGGAAGGAAGGGACATGGAAAAAAAGAAATAGAAAGAAAAACTGGAACAAAGCTTTTATACATAGGTAGGGGAAGGAAGAATGGGAAAAAAGAGGCACGACTTAAAACAAAACAAACAAACAAACAAACAAACAAACAAAAAAACCCAGCATCTCAGAACACCTTAAAATCTTCCTGAAGTTTTCAATCTCCCTAGGCCTCAACTGCAGGCACTTCAACTAGTTATCACACAGCTCTCTCTCTGCATCCAGTACCTCCACTGAAAGGAATTACAGGATAGTGTGCTGCACAGCAAAACCATGGGGACCGTCCTCAGTGAACCTGGCCTTCTCTGTCCAGTGTGTCAGCCTAATGTTGCCCCAGGTTATCCACCCATACCCACTTTCCATTACTCCCATTCACACATCTACTCTGGTCAAGCGGACTGAATCACTGTCCCCTGTATACTCATCTTACCCGACCTGTTATCCATTAAATGACCACAAAAATCACCTGTATGATGTCTCCTGCTCCATCTCTGCCTTCCTCTCCACTGGCCAGAAGCAAACTCGCCTCCTGAGCTTGCCTACAATTCATGATTGTACTTCTACAACTTCTAATTAGTACTTTATACACCTCACCTGCTAAGAATGGACACTCCAAAGAGGAGCACTCACTTATATTTCATCTGTACAGGGCTCAACACGATCAACTACCTATGATCTTAGACAGGATAGTAATAACATCAAATGATCACACAGCAGATAACAGACTTAAAGTCAACCTTATTTATGCCACTTCATAACCTTTGTAAGTGTACACTAGTGTACTAGCTCTGTCTTGGGAGAATCATCAATCACAAGGCTGAGACATTATTGTTCATGATTTGCAACACTCACTTCTTTTTGTAGGTTTTTTCATATGTGGGATGTACCAAATCTTCATCTTCAGGTTCTTCGGGAACGTCACAATTTCTAGACAAAAAAAGCACACGGCAATAACATATCACCAGCGCCATTTCAGCCATCTTGAATAGTACTTTCTGCCTTTCCAAAAAGGGTACTACCAACTATATGGTACCTGAACTGTGGGTCAGGGTTATTGGAGCAATACCATTTTTCTGGAAGTTGTTCTATCCCATCTGGTAATTTTCGCCACTTTAGGCAAGAATCACACTGAACCCATGTCTGATCAGGACGTTTCCTGTAAGACAAAAGCAAGATATTATCATAGATAATATGAATCTAATTCATCAGATTTTCTAAATCATTCCAACCACAGGATGCCTGATTATTTTATTCACTTCCTGAAAATTCTGTGACATGACTGTTTTTGTTGTATGTCAATTTGAACTTTAAAGAACAACCATATTGGCTACCTTCAAATAGTTAAAGGTCACAGGTCAATTTGAACAAAGCAATTCAAATGTCTTATTAAATGTCACATTAAATTTTTCTAGGTTAATGGCTAATTTTAAAATATTACAAATATCTTGCTCTGCAAGTTACTGTAAGTTAGCACCTATTAAGTTTAATCTATATTTATAAGCACAATAAGAACAGAAAAATAGGAGAAATCATACTGTAATTATACTAAAATTAGAAATATTTGAGGGGGAGATTGAAGTATTATTTTGTAAACATGTGTTTGAAATAGATGACCCCTGGGCTGGGGATTTAGCTCAGTGGTTCCACCACCTGCCTCACAAGTGGAAGGTCCCGAGTTTGATCCCCGAAACCAAAATTAAAATAAAATAGATGAACCCTGCTCACACTTCATATAATGGACTTGAGACACAGTACACAAATTCACCTGTCACAAGGAGATGGAAGGGCTCAGGAGCAGGTGGTATCCAGGGGCAGAGGCGGTGACAAGAAAACAGGCCAGGAAAGCCTGCTCAACAGTCTAGGCCAAATCGAGCGTGGTGGTGCACGCCTGTAATCCCAGCACTCGGGAGGCTGAGACAGGAGGATCGCTGTGAGTTCGAGACCAGCCTGGGCTACACAGTGAGTTCCAGGGTCAGTCTCAACTACATAGTGAGACCCTGTCTCAAAAAACCAAAAATAAATAAATAAATAAATAAACAAAGAAACAAAGAAACAAACCAAAAAACAGTCTAGGCCAAATTACACAGCCCAGCCACCTCCTGGACAATAGTGCAGGGGTGAGAGGCCAACTCTGGTGAGTAAAACCCCAGCCCTCGTTTTGCTCCCATACCTGTTCCCAGCTGTGGCCCTCATGGAAAGGGCTCACTGGTCCATGTTTTATCTTCCAGAACCCTCAAGGTACAATAAAAATACAGTCCTTCTTTTTCTTCTTTTTGTTTTTTGAGACAGGGTCTCACTACATAGTTGAGACTGACCTGGGACTCACTATGTAGCCCAGGCTGGTTTCAAACTCACAGCGATCCTAATGCCTCAGCCTCCCGAGTGCTGGGATTACAGGTGTGCGCCACCACGCCTGGCTTAGAATTCTTAATTGACATGTTAGCCATCAGCATTCTGGATGTGCCATCTCACCGCCTGCTGACTTCATTTTGTTGCTGTTACTGTTTTTTGAGACAGGGTCTCACTACTAGTTGAGACTGACCTAGAACTCACTATGTAGTCCAGGCTAGTCTTGAACTCACAGCAATTCTCCTGCCTCAGCCTCCTGAATGCTGGGATTATAGGCATGTGCCACCACACCTGGCAAAATGCAGTCCTTCTTTTCTGAGGGGGCTAGGAGAGAAAGACAGCAGTGCTCTGGCTGATCTCTAGGGAAAGCAACGATACTGGCCTACAGGTGGGCGCCAGTGCCTAATATAACTTCTTTCTCAATTTTAATTGTATAGTTTTATTCTTACTTTCTATTATAGCATATTTCTGAATAACCAAAATTTGTACTTTCTAAATTTCATGTGTAACATCTGTTCTCTTTTAAAAAATTGGGCTGGAAGCTAGATGTGCATGTCTGTAATCTCAGCACTTGGGAAGGTGAGACAGGAGGACTGCCATAAGTTTGAGGCCAGCCTGGAATCCATAATGAGTTCAAGGCTAGCCTGAACTACATAGCAAGACCCTGTCTCAAAAAGTAAAGGAAAAAAGAGAAGGGCTGGGCATGGTGGCATACACCTGTAGTCACCACCCTCAGGAAGCCAAGAAGGAGGCCTACAATTCAAGGCCAGCCTGACTATACAGTCAGCCATTGTCCCAAAAAAAAAAAGCAACAAATTGGCCTGAGGGTATGTAATGTAACTCAGTGGTAGTGTGCACTTACCATGCCCAAGGACCTAAGGTTTGATCCACAGCACCAAAAGGGATAAAAATGCATCTATATGTTTATATGAAAGTTCAAAATAATCTAGAAATTTGTATTTTTAAAAATACCTTGTTTCAAGAAATTATCATTATCAATTTTCTCAATCTTGGAAGAAATTTTCCACACTTCTAAAAGTACAATATGTAGATGGCTATTCAGGAAAGAAGGAGGCTTTCCAATGAGATGATTTTTCTTATTTTTCACTGTACCTCAGCTATCCCGTCGTACCATTCACACGGACACCACTCAGTTACTATGGACAGGACTGTTACTGTGTGTGCTGCGTGTTGCTACTGTTTGTCAGGTCCACAGTGTTTAATTCTTTTGACTGATAAGATGATAACTATTTCTAAATACACTTACTGTATGTCTTCAACTGGCAAATTTAGAGGATATTCTGCATTCTTCTTCACTTTCATTTCATTCCAGTAATCATTCAGTTTTTCTCCTAGTGCTGTAATTGTAAGCCTTAAAAAAGAATAAAATCAATTCAAGGACAAACAAGATAAAAAGTTTTTTCAAACACTGAGAAAATCCACTAAGAAGTTTTTTTCAGGGTGGACAATTGAACTCAGGGTTCCCAGGCACACTAAGGAGGTGTTCTGCCATTGAGCTACCTCCCCAGCCCTCTGGGATGACTAAATGGCAGTGTGAATGACATTCAAAGTAATGCCAATTTTCTATAGGGACCATTGTATAGGGGTACAGTTCAGTGGCAGAGCGCTTACACATGAGGCCCTAGGTTTGATCTCTAGTACGCCACTTATACAAATCTATAATTCAACATAAAAAAAATAACAGTATGCTGGCCCTCTGATAAAAAAGTATGCTATAGGGCAATTCATGGGAAAGCTAGAAGTTCCCTGTGTTTCAACCCCATCTGATAAATGTGTAGCTTCAGTTCACATTAGAACTCAATCTTGTAGCTTAGCAGATGATCATTACTACCGAACATACTTCAAAACAGCTTAAGTCTGCCAGGCGTGGTGGCGCAAGCTTGTAATCCCAGAACTTGGGAGGCTGAGGCAGGAGGATCACTGTGATCTTGAGACCAGTCTGGGCTATGTAATGACTTCCACAGCAGTCTCAACTACACAATGAGACCCCACCTCAAAAAAAAAAAAAAAAAAAGCTAAAGTCCAAAAATCAAGACTTTCACTTTCCCCACAATAAGAAATGTAGGGCCAGGGATTTGGCTCAGTGGTTCTGCTGCCTGCCTCTCAAGCGCAAGGGCCTGAGTTCAATACCTGGTACCAAATAAATAAATAAGAAATGTAAACTAAGTAATTAAGGCCACAATTGCATAATTGCTTATTAATTAGTTCAGCACCTATTGCGCCAGGAATAGTTTCACAGAACACTCGATGCAGGCACTGTAACTACGAATTTAAACAAAAAGCCTTTACAAGCCTTTACATGCCAGGACTCCTGTATCCTGGCAGGTTAGTCCTCTGCGGGGGTAGCTATCACCTGCAACTTGTCCTCGCTCAACTCCCACTTATTTCAGTATCCCCCCAGGCAGGGCCAGTAGTGTCAGTGTCTAAAGACTCACTTCCTCCCTTCTTTCTCACCTCTACTCAACCCAGGAGACTGTCCCTAGCGCTGCTGAGAATCAATCCACCTATGAGCAGAGCTGCACGACTCAGTGTGTGCACCAATACGAGCTTTCTGTACTCAACAGCCCCTCGGTTCAAAATAATCTACAATCTCCACACCTATGGGCCACTTGGGAAATTTTCAACTGCCCTATACCTTGCCAATATATGCTGTTATCTCTCATTTTAGACATGTTTTCCATTTTTGCCCATCATAATCGATACTTTTTGGGTCCTGTTCAAAATCCTTGCCTAATTGGGCTGGGGTATAACTCAGTGGTAAGGCATTTACCTAAACACAGGATACTCAAGAGCTTGGATTTGATCCCTAGCACAGCCAGAAAAAGGAAAAAGCAAACATACATACAAAAAAAAAAAAAAAACATAAAAAACAAAACACAATAACCCAGCTTCACAAAGGGCATGGAAATATTTTTCTGTATTTCCCTCTGCTGTTTTGGTCTTTCTCACTTGGGTGAAAAAGCTCAACTAGAGCTGATCTTAGAGGTAGGAGTAAGGTTCCTTTATCTACACAAAGGCCAAATGACCCTGAATTTTGGAATGACTGGCATTTTCCTGGTACATTCTATCTCTGAGATGAATGGGGTGACTGGGTGTCTAAAGTGGGAGTTTGACTTCTACTTCACTAGATGATCTGTCCTTTATACCAACATCACACTTCATAGTCACTACAGCTTTACAGCAAACTAATATCTAGTAGTGCATAAATCTATTATCTCTGTTGATTGTCAATGTTTGTTACAGTTATCTTTGGTAGTATCTCTGACAGAATTTAGAATATGCCATTAGGATCCATAAACATCTGCTGGGATTTTGCAAAAACTGGAAAATTAAATGATTTAATCACTTTGGAGAAGAATTATTTTATTATACTTGGCCTACTAATTCTCTGATCTAGTGTACATATTTGGTTAAATCTTAAACTTCTCACCACAATGTACTCTCAGTTTTCAGTAGAGGCTTCACATATTTTAATTATTTTGGACCTCTTATATAGTTGATACTGTTAGTTTCATTTTCTTCCTTTCCGATAGTTTACTTTTTCCTTTCCAGTCATTTTCTTGCTTTGTGTTATCTCAGGAAAAGTGGTGAGCATCTGACACGCCCCCATTTTTCGAAGAAAGCTACCAATAAGTCGCCAGTAGACATGATGTTTAGTGTCTTATAAATTCTTCCTGTTTAACACGCCCTTCAATCCATGGTTTTGGTTTTCTGGGGGGGCCACCGGGGACTGAACTCAGGACCTTGCACTTGTGAGGCAGGCACAGTGCCACTGAGCTAAGTCCTCAGCCCCAATCCATGGTTTTTAAGTGTTTGTCTTTAAAAATTATTTTTTTTAAAAAAAAATCACAAAAGGGTACTGAAAGTTTATCAAGCTTTCTTCTGTACCTATGAAGACAACCACAAGTTTTTCTTTTTTTTTTGGTACCGGGATCGAACTCGGGTCCTTGCACTTGCAAGGCAGGCCACCGAACCACTGAGCTAAATCCCCAGCCCTCTAATATTTCTATCAACGTGATGAAGTATGTTTACATCCGAACATGAAAAGCACCACTGCTGTGTTGGGATCCACCCCACTTGGTTGTAACACGATGCCGCCAGCTGGAACCATAAGCAGCATGCGCTAATGGTCCCATGGGCAATGTGGGACAGAATCATCAGTGAGACACGAATTACAGCCCTGTTGCGAACATGGTAATGTATTACCCTTTTACATGTCACTGGATGATATTCACTATTACTTATAATTAAGATTTTATCACCAGGCATGGTGGCGCACGCCTGTAATCCCAGCACTCGGGAGGCTGAGACAGGAGGATCACTGTGAGTTTGAGACCAGCCTGGGCTACATAGTGAGTTCCAGGTCAGTCTCAAAAAAAAAAAAAAAAAAAAAAAGATTCTATCTTTAAAATGAGAGCTATAGAGTAAGTCTCTGTCTCAAACAACCAGAAAACAAAACAAAACAAAGCTTCCCCGACAAATGTCCTTTCTTTGGACGTACTCTTCAGCCCACTACCAAGGTTGTATGGCCTCATAAGACCTTTAAAAGAGTTTTCGTAAGACAGATGCCACTGTTCCTTAACTGTTTGAATTTAATAATGTGGAAGTTTCCTTTCATTGGTCTGTCTTTGAGACAGTCTTGCTACATCACTCAAGCCGATCTCAGTATCGGGGCACCCCTCTGGTCTCAGCCTGAGGAGTGCTGGGATCAGGTGAGAGCTACCACACTCCGCTGTGTGGGGAGTTTCCCAATGCTGACTCAACTTCAAAGTTACGTGTCTGTGTTATATTAAATGGTAAAAAAAATTGTTCCTACTATCCTCTTTAATGCTTTTATGTCTGTAAGACCTGTGCTATCTTCCGTTTCATGTCCTACACTGATGTGTATTTTCTCCCTTTTACTTTAGTCCTGAAAGACACTTACAAACCCTGTTAATCTCACTGAAGTACAAGCTCTCGGCTCCAGCCCGGTCCAGGTTCTGGTACCTGCTGTCACTAGAAGAGAACGACTAGGCTCCCTCCAGCTATCCCTCAGGCCTGCCCTACCCATTAGCAAGCACAGGGTGGCGCCATCAGCAGGGACCAATGGCCAGGCCTTCATTTGCTTTCAATCACTGATTTCTTTCTTTCTTTTTTTTTGGTACCAGGGATCAAATTTGGGACCTTTTGCTTACAAGGCAGGCAGCAGAACCACTGAGCTAAATCCCTGGCTCCAATCACTGACTTTTCTTAAGCTTTACTTTGAAAAAACTTTCATTAACTTCTAAATTATTTTGCAATTTTGAGAGTAATTTTGTATCTCATTTTACAAAATTATAACTACATTACAGAACTTGAAGAAATAGAAATTGCATTTAACCATCTTCTTCCATTTTTGGAATAGTGATCTATTCCAACATAAGTAGTATATACTCTGTCTTTACTTATGACACACTTCTATCACAGAAAATACAGCAGATTTTCAGAGATTAAAACCAGCGAAGTGAAGACCAGCAGCAAAATGCAGACCCTGAGGCTAGAACCGAGATACCAGGAAAATAACTTAAGAGAGAAAAAAGTAGAACTTCAGGAATCAAGAGTGAGCAGACAGGAAAATCAGAAGCCACGAGAAACTCAAGACAGTACAGAGCAAAGAACAAAGCAGTCAGGACCCCAATCCAATCCTGGCTCCCAGAGGCGACCCCGACTCCACCCATACAAGCCTGTCTTCTCAAAGTGCTGCTGGGGATCGAAAAGAAGGCTGGGCACCATGATGACCCAAAAAAATTACACTCAGTAGGATGGAGGGGGAGACAGAATCTAACTAAAGGGATCATTGCAGTCATGAGTTTTCCATTCTAACTTATCCTCAGCCCACAGTATAAAACAGACTGGCAACAAGATAGCTTCAGATCCCTAACCCGGGAAAGCTGGCCTCGAGGACAATAACACAGAGGAAGTATAAGCAGAGAGTTCAAACACCCACTTCATCTGTCTACATGATAATTAACTTTATGAGGTCTTATAAGATATAGGTGAATCTGATGCTGGCAAAATAAAAGAGGGGTGGAGGGGAAAAAAAAGAACTGAAATGTGTTGTGTCCATGTACCAATTCCCTACAATGAATGTGGTCATTATGTACTGCAAACGTGTACTAATAAAAGTTAAAAACATCAACAAAGAAACATCAAAGTTAAACCACTGAACAAATAAACTTAATAGATATCCTTACACTGTTATCCAACAACAATAGAGTATACATTTTTTTCAGTAGCAGAGGGGAATTTTTCTAAAACAGGCCATAATGTAGGCCATACAATATGCTTTAATAAATTCATAAGAACTGAAATAATTCCCTACATACTATAGGATATATTGAAATGAAGCTAGAACTCAACAGCAGAAGCGACAGAAACTCCGCAAACACATGGAGTTAAACAATACATTACTGAATAATCAAGGGATCACAAAAGATAACAGGGAAGAAAAGTTCCTGCCAGGTGTGGTGATGCACACCTGTAATCCCAATACTCAGAAGGCTAAAGAAGGAGGACGGCTGCGTGCTTCAGGTAAGCCTGGGCTACATAGTGAATTCAAGGCCAGCCTGGGCTACCTGGTGAGCCTGTCTCAAAAAACAAAACAAAGGGCCAGGAGTTTAGCTCAGTGGTTTCGCTGCCTGCCTTGCAAGCACAAGGGCCTGAGTTCGCTCATCAGTACCAAAAAAAAAAAAGCAAAACAACAGATTTGACCCAGCCATCCCTCTGCTGGGTATCTTTCCAAAAGAATTAAAAGAATCATACCACAGTGACATAATACACACCCATATTTGTAGCGGCACAGTTTGTAATAGCTAAAACTTGGAAACAGCCCATCTGCCCATCAGTTGGAAACTGGATAAAGAAGATGTGGTTTTTCTATAAGATGGAATACTACTTAACCATAAAGAATGAGAAATTAAATTCATCCATAGGAAAATGGATACATATTGAGGATGTACTCCCAAGTGAAATAAATAAATCACACATATGCAAATACCGAATAGTTTCTCTGGTGTGAAAAACTAAAATAGTACTCAAGATCCTAAAGGGACAATTAGCAATGTGAAATAGGAAGAAAAGGACCAAAGCTGTAGGGACAGTGAGAAGGATAGGGAAAGGGGAATAAGGAAAAAGGAAAAAAATATGAGAAAATGTAAAAATGGAATTAAAGTGTTTGAAGGTGGAGGGTGAGGGGGGGGGGCACAAGGGGAAAAAATGAGAACCAAGACCTGTCACGTAGAGGTACAAGATCCCAACGATGAATGTAACCGTACTGTATCTCTAAAATGTTCCAATAAATTCAATTTAAAATTTAAAAAAAAAAACAGAAGGGGAAAAAGTTCCTAGCATGAAATGGCAATGGAAGTACAACACAACAAAATCTCAAATGGAAAATGCACACATAAACAGAAAAGAATGACTTCAAACAAGTAATCAAATGATGCATCTCAAGGTCCTAGAAAGATAAGAACAATCCAAATCTGAAATAAAGGGAAAGAGATTATAAAGATCAGAGCAGAAACTGATGAAACTAAGACTAAAAAACAATACAAAGGATCAATGCACCAAATGTTTAGTTCTCTGAAAGGATGGGAAGGAGAAGGATGGGGAGTGGAAGGGAAGTAAAAAGGATCCAGATCGGACATGTATATGTATATTCCCCATAGCGAAGGTATTTACTATTTATCACAAACACACACTAACAAAAAACTGAGAAAAAACAAACCCAAAACAAAAGAATGATACATAATTTTTTAAAAAGCAGCAGCGGGCTGGGGATTTAGCTCAGTGGTTCCCTCACCTGCCTTGCAAGCTCAAGGACCAGAGTTCAATCCCCAGTACCAGGGAAAGAAAGAGAGAGAGAAAGAGAGAGAGAGAGCAGCAGCAGCAGCTGGTGAGAAAAAGAGGGAGGGGGAGGG